AGTAGCACGCTGCAGTAACCAGTTCTGAGCAGCACGCTGCAGTAACCAGGTCGGAGCAGCACGCTGCAGTAAGCAGGTCGGAGCAGCACGCTGCAGTAACCAGTTCTGATCGGCACGCTGCAGTAACCAGTTCTGAGCAGCACGCTGCAGTAACCAGTTCTGATCGGCACGCTGCAGTAACCAGTTCAGAGCAGCACGCTGCAGTAACCAGTTCTGAGCAGAACGCTGCAGTAACCAGGTCGGAGCAGCACGCTGCAGTAACCAGTTCTGATCGGCACGCTGCAGTAACCAGTTCAGAGCAGCACGCTGCAGTAACCAGTTCGGAGCAGCACGCTGCAGTAACCAGTTCGGAGCAGCACGCTGCAGTAAGCAGTCCGGAGCAGCACGCTGCAGTAAGCAGGTCGGAGCAGCACGCTGCAGTAACCAGATCTGAGCAGCACGCTGCAGTAACCGGTCCGGAGCAGCACGCTGCAGTAACCAGGTTGGAGCAGCACGCTGCAGTAACCAGGTCAGAGCAGCACGCTGCAGTAACCAGGTCGGAGCAGCACGCTGCAGTAACCAGTTCGGAGCAGCACGCTGCAGTAACCAGTTCGGAGCAGCACGCTGCAGTAACCAGGTCGGAGCAGCACGCTGCAGTAACCAGTTCTGAGCAGCACGCTGCAGTAACCAGGTCGGAGCAGCACGCTGCAGTAACCAGTTCTGAGCGGCACGCTGCAGTAACCAGTTCTGAGCAGCACGCTGCAGTAACCAGTTCTGAGCAGCACGCTGCAGTAACCAGGTCGGAGCAGCACGCTGCAGTAACCGGTCCGGAGCAGCACGCTGCAGTAACCGGTCCGGAGCAGCACGCTGCAGTAACCAGGTCAGAGCAGCACGCTGCAGTAACCAGGTCGGAGCAGCACGCTGCAGTAAGCAGGTCGGAGCAGCACGCTGCAGTAACCAGTTCTGATCGGCACGCTGCAGTAACCAGTTCTGAGCAGCACGCTGCAGTAACCAGTTCGGAGCGGCACGCTGCAGTAACCAGTTCTGAGCAGCACGCTGCAGTAACCAGTTCGGAGCAGCACGCTGCAGTAATCAGTTCTGAGCGGCACGCTGCAGTAACCAGTTCGGAGCAGCGCGCTGCAGTAACCAGTTCTGAGCGGCACGCTGCAGTAAGCAGTTCTGAGCGGCACGCTGCAGTAACCATTACTGAGCGGCACGCTGCAGTAACCAGTTCTGAGCAGCACGCTGCAGTAACCAGTTCGGAGCAGCACGCTGCAGTAACCAGTTCTGAGCGGCACGCTGCAGTAAGCAGTTCTGAGCGGCACGCTGCAGTAACCAGTTCGGAGCGGCACGCTGCAGTAACCAGGTCAGAGCAGCACGCTGCAGTAACCAGTTCTGAGCAGCACGCTGCAGTAACCAGTTCTGAGCGGCACGCTGCAGTAACCAGTTCTGAGCGGCACGCTGCAGTAAGCAGTTCTGAGCGGCACGCTGCAGTAACCAGGTCTGAGCAGCACGCTGCAGTAACCAATTCGGAGCAGCACGCTGCAGTAACCAGTTCTGAGCGGCACGCTGCAGTAACCAGTTCTGAGCGGCACGCTGCAGTAACCGGTCCGGAGCAGCACGCTGCAGTAACCAGGTCGGAGCAGCACGCTGCAGTAACCAGTTCTGAGCAGCACGCTGCAGTAACCAGTTCTGAGCAGCACGCTGCAGTAACCAGTTTGGAGCAGCACGCTGCAGTAACTAGTTCTGAGCAGCACGCTGCAGTAACCAGTTCAGAGCAGCACGCTGCAGTAACCAGGTCGGAGCAGCACGCTGCAGTAACCAGTTCAGAGCAGCACGCTGCAGTAACCAGTTCTGAGCAGCACGCTGCAGTAACCAGTTCTGATCGGCACGCTGCAGTAACCAGTTCAGAGCAGCACGCTGCAGTAACCAGTTCTGAGCAGAACGCTGCAGTAACCAGGTCGGAGCAGCACGCTGCAGTAATCAGTTCTGAGCGGCACGCTGCAGTAACCAGTTCTGATCGGCACGCTGCAGTAACCAGTTCAGAGCAGCACGCTGCAGTAACCGGTCCGGAGCAGCACGCTGCAGTAAGCAGTCCGGAGCAGCACGCTGCAGTAACCAGGTCGGAGCAGCACGCTGCAGTAACCAGTTCGGAGCAGCACGCTGCAGTAAGCAGGTCAGAGCAGCACGCTGCAGTAACCGGTCCGGAGCAGCACGCTGCAGTAACCAGGTCAGAGCAGCACGCTGCAGTAACCAGATCTGAGCAGCACGCTGCAGTAACCGGTCCGGAGCAGCACGCTGCAGTAACCAGGTCAGAGCAGCACGCTGCAGTAACCAGGTCGGAGCAGCACGCTGCAGTAACCAGTTCTGAGCAGCACGCTGCAGTAACCAGGTCGGAGCGGCACGCTGCAGTAACCAGTCCGGAGCAGCACGCTGCAGTAACCAGGTCGGAGCAGCACGCTGCAGTAACCAGTTCTGAGCGGCACGCTGCAGTAACCAGTTCTGAGCAGCACGCTGCAGTAACCAGGTCGGAGTAGCACGCTGCAGTAACCAGTTCGGAGCGGCACGCTGCAGTAACCAGTTCTGAGCAGCACGCTGCAGTAACTAGTTCTGAGCAGCACGCTGCAGTAACCAGGTCTGAGCAGCACGCTGCAGTAACCAGTTCTGAGCGGCACGCTGCAGTAACCAGTTCTGAGCAGCACGCTGCAGTAACCAGTTCGGAGCAGCACGCTGCAGTAACCGGTCCGGAGTAGCACGCTGCAGTAACCAGTTCTGAGCAGCACGCTGCAGTAACCAGGTCGGAGCAGCACGCTGCAGTAAGCAGGTCGGAGCAGCACGCTGCAGTAACCAGTTCTGATCGGCACGCTGCAGTAACCAGTTCTGAGCAGCACGCTGCAGTAACCAGTTCGGAGCGGCACGCTGCAGTAACCAGTTCTGAGCAGCACGCTGCAGTAACCAGTTCGGAGCAGCACGCTGCAGTAATCAGTTCTGAGCGGCACGCTGCAGTAACCAGTTCAGAGCAGCACGCTGCAGTAACCAGTTCTGAGCAGAACGCTGCAGTAACCAGGTCGGAGCAGCACGCTGCAGTAACCAGTTCTGATCGGCACGCTGCAGTAACCAGGTCGGAGCAGCACGCTGCAGTAACCAGTTCGGAGCAGCACGCTGCAGTAACCGGTCCGGAGCAGCACGCTGCAGTAAGCAGTCCGGAGCAGCACGCTGCAGTAAGCAGGTCGGAGCAGCACGCTGCAGTAAGCAGATCTGAGCAGCACGCTGCAGTAACCGGTCCGGAGCAGCACGCTGCAGTAACCAGGTTGGAGCAGCACGCTGCAGTAACCAGGTCAGAGCAGCACGCTGCAGTAACCAGGTCGGAGCAGCACGCTGCAGTAACCAGTTCGGAGCAGCACGCTGCAGTAACCAGTTCGGAGCAGCACGCTGCAGTAACCAGGTCGGAGCAGCACGCTGCAGTAACCAGTTCTGAGCAGCACGCTGCAGTAACCAGTTCTGAGCAGCACGCTGCAGTAACCAGGTCGGAGCAGCACGCTGCAGTAACCAGTTCTGAGCGGCACGCTGCAGTAACCAGTTCTGAGCAGCACGCTGCAGTAACCAGTTCTGAGCAGCACGCTGCAGTAACCAGGTCGGAGCAGCACGCTGCAGTAACCAGGTCAGAGCAGCACGCTGCAGTAAGCAGGTTGGAGCAGCGCGCTGCAGTAACCGGTCCGGAGCAGCACGCTGCAGTAACCAGGTCGGAGCAGCACGCTGCAGTAACCAGTTCTGAGCGGCACGCTGCAGTAACCAGTTCTGAGCAGCACGCTGCAGTAACCAGTTCTGAGCAGCACGCTGCAGTAACCAGGTCGGAGCAGCACGCTGCAGTAACCAGGTCAGAGCAGCACGCTGCAGTAAGCAGGTTGGAGCAGCGCGCTGCAGTAACCGGTCCGGAGCAGCACGCTGCAGTAACCAGGTCAGAGCAGCACGCTGCAGTAACCGGTCCGGAGCAGCACGCTGCAGTAACCAGGTCGGAGCAGCACGCTGCAGTAACCAGGTCAGAGCAGCATGCTGCAGTAAGCAGGTTGGAGCAGCACGCTGCAGTAAGCAGTCCGGAGCAGCGCGCTGCACAGCCGGGCTCAGAGTGGCGGCACGTGCGGGCGCGGCGGGTTCCTTGCCCACGCCCGTGAGCACACGCACCGTGTCTCGCTCCGCGTGCTCGCGGGACGCCAGGCTCTTTCCTCGCCCAGCCCGGGCCCGTGGCCACTCAGCCAGCCTGCGGCAGGCCTGCTACGCGTCGGTCGCCCTGTTTTTAGGGACAAGTGAAGAGCAGGTGCAGGAATGTCCTGCCTTAAAACAACCCCAGCTGGCTGTCGGGAAAATGTTGCAATGCAGTGCTGCTGCACAAGCTGTTCTATCAGCTCGGTCCCCTGTATGGCCCCAGCCCAGGGCTGCAAGCACAGTCAACTGAATAGAGCATCAATAAAATGTTGTAACAAAGGTAATGATGGGCCTGACAGTTCAAAGGATGTTGATGCATGAGAAACTGGCCCTTAGCTACCGAAGCGATGGGAGATCTATCATTGTGGCTACTAAGAACTGAGACGTACAGAACTGGAGGTAATCGCCCTTGAAGACTAAAAGAAAGAAGAAACAAAACAACAAAGTGGTCGGACTCCAGAACAAGATGTGAAACCCACTGTCAAGATAATAATGACTGATAAAGTATAATTCTGTGTATTTTGGATTAGGTAATGCTTTGTAGGTGCATAAATACATGTATGCGAACTCATGTAAGCTGTCACTCTCTGCGGAGGTGACCCAACGCTGCTGGACCTGAATTAATCCTAGAGTAACCCACGACGGAGTTCGAGTCTCCTTTAACTCTGGCCAGGCACTTTGAATTTCCCAAGCCTCCACTGTTGGCTCCTGCTGGAGACAAAGTTCTCCAGTGGTCACAGCCCACAGGCGAATTTCTGTTTGCAGCCTTTCTCTCCATGGTGTATCTGAAAGCACTGTAAAACCACAGACAGACTCACCTGTTCTGAATCTGACAAACATGTCGAGCACATAGATGATATCAGAGCCATAATCCAAGAACAGCCACAACTTAATGTAGTCGACTTGTAGCTCATCAAAGCAGGCTCTAAAGAAACAAAGATACAAAAAAAAAAATATTATACCAACGGCATAAGGAGAATACTTGTGACGTGAGTCCTACCAGCATGTTAGTGCACATTACTGGCACTGAAAAATTACAGACAGCGTATGTCCATGCCTAGCCATCTGCACACTGGAGCTGTGTCTAAACAGACACTAGGATGTTTCAGAATTCAAAGGTGTTCAGGGCAGGAACAAAACTCAAACAGATACATGCCCCACAAGGTCACTTAGGGAGGAATACACACACCCCTGCAAACAAACAGGCACCAGATTTCATGGGATACACATCTCCATTAAGATAATTCCCAAATACAAGATTTGTTTCCGAGCTGCCAGCCCTCTTCACCCCTCCCTGCCGTCTGGCCCAGCCTAAGTGAACGATTCCCACAGCGCTCTACTGCTTTGACTCGAACCGATTTCCACGTTTTACGAGGGCAAATAAATACTCGAGTAGAATCCTCCAGCCCTCCCAGCAGCTATGGCTGCGTGACATTAACTCAAGGTGAGCCAGAACTGCTCACGCCCCTCCCCTCTGTTCCCAGCGGGGCGAGTGGAAGCCCCCTCCCTGGCTAGCCGCGGGCGCGGGCGCGGTGGCCCAGGCACGCCTCTGCTGCTGGCCAGCGGGTGGCCCGCACAGGCCACAGCCAGCGCCCCTGGGGCTGCTCCCCGCCAGTCGCAGCACGCGGGTTGTGGACAGGAAGGTAAACCGAAACGTTGGCCGAGTATTCCCAGCGGCAGGCACAGCACATGGCCCTGTTAGTCTGCTAGGTGAGCCACCCGAAAAACGCCTCCGGGAGGGAAGAGGATGATTTACACGAGAAACAGAATGAGACGCTAAACTTGAAACCTAAAATTATTATTAACTTAAATCCATACCTGCACACTATCATACACCAGTTGTAGAACACGGGTGCTGCAATTATGGTCAGCCAGTTGTAGTAAATATTGCTCGAAGGATCTATCACAAGGATTTCTTTTTTCTTCCTGGAAAGTAAAAAGCACAGATTTACACTGGAAATGCAATGAAGTGACCTGCCGGATCTCCCTCTTCTGGAGGCTGCTCATCTCATGGTGAGCTCACAGCTGCCTAACAAGAGAAAGTATCCACGCAGGCAGCTCCAGCTGGATACCAAATATTAGCTTCATCCCATCTGACGTGCTGCATTTGTTTGCTTGACTCAACTTTGGAAAAAGTAAGTACGAGTGGAAAGAAAAACACAGACATTCATATTGCCTAGGCTGAAAACCACTGCCCTTCTGCATACGACTCTCACGGAAAAAGAAGTAAAACGTTAAAGGTTTCTTATTATCACTCCAGAGAGAAGGCTATGGTCCATTGCTAGAGAAAGAGCCTTCCTTTTGCAGATTAATTTTGATGGTTTTGGAAAATCCTATTATGGAAATGACCGTATAAGCACACGTTTAAACAAGTAAAACACATATGTATTCAAATGCATGTTTATACAAGTGAAGACTCTGTGTGTACACACACCTATGTAGTGTGTGACCAGAACTAAAATGTGTTCTTATGTAAAAGCAAACTTCACACATTCACAGTCCTGGCTCCCTAGGCCCCACAACAATGAAGGGATGCTAAAGAAAGCGTACAGGAATTTAAAGAAGATCTAAAGAACATCATGGCTAATGGCACATGTAGAGTGTGCTCCGAAGAGCCCCTCCCCAGCACGAGAAAGGCTGCTATGGAATAGCCAGCAACTAGGCATGTCGTACATAACCAGAGGGCACACCTGTCAGTGGGCCGTGCCCAGCTACAGAAGTTACTCCAACAGTAACACGTGATAGAGAGCTGTGAACTGTGTAACGGTGTGGGGAGCACGAGACCGGGCAGTGCTCGGATGTGCATTCGTCTGACTTCTCCTAATCTCCAAGAACGTAAATATATTAAAACGTAATGATAATTTCTTTCATATCTGCGTGTATTTCTGGCATTATCCCTCCTGAATCTCCAGATCATAACGTTTGTAAAGGAAGCAGCTTTAATCCAAGAAGTATTTACTCTGCCATTTTCACAACAGGCTTTGGGCCATTTCTTCTAAAAAACTGGTCACCGCCTCAAAACCGGTGACCATGAAATACGGTCTTCCTATGACAGAGTATACCACCTTCTACACATTAAAACACTTATTTTCTTTGCTGAAATGTTTTAAAATGCTTCTGGCTACTGCAAAGCTCAGGCTCTCACTACACAGTAATTGAAGCCAAAAGAGAATCCTTAGAACAAAGGCTCTGATTAAGAAAGTCAAGCTCTTGAGATCAAGCGAACTCCACCTGGAAGTGATTCCTAACTGCATGTCCCCATGCCTACACAGCACACGCCACCATATACATACAAACAAACTTGCAGTTTATTACTCTAACACACTCCTTAACTGTGAAGTCCACTCAAATGCATTCTCTTTTTATCTGCCATCATTGGTATTTTTCATTACTAGTAATACTGCATTGTACTACGTTTGGGTCAGCTTTGGGGGAACAAAACAAGAGCAGGGTCCATTTCTGTCCAAAGCATTCAAATGAAATGAAATGAAAAGCATTCATTTTGCTGCAGAAATACAGCATCTCCTACTCAGCAAACTTTAGTGATCACTAGTAATCAACTGCACCACATTAAGCAATTAAATATGCTAGCCAGTGTAATAACTAAATGTATTAGTACATCTGTAATTTTCTAGATGTAAGATTTCCGCTCTTTGTCCAAACCAGACTTTTGGTTCATCTGCTCTGAATCACTATGAACATTCTGGAAGAATGAAAAGACTGTGCAGATCTGCAAAGCAGGCTGCTATTCTAAAATGCCTTCATAATAAAAAAATGATCTTCAACAGCAAATAAAAGTGACCAGAGGTAGCTGAATTCCCTTTTACTGACATAGGAAGCTGGTCGTGACAGGTCTAAACACAGGTCTTAAAGCTGCAACATGTTTGTTGAGCAGTTGCACCTTTACAAAGGGGAAAACGTATTAAAGATTTGACAGGCTAACATTCTGCAGCCTAGAGAACAACAATTGTCATGGAAGTGTTACGAAGAAATGCTATACCATGCTCTGTAGTGCAGGAGGTGTGTTACAAGCACACATTCATTCTTTATACTTACTCCTCTTGTTTTTTATCATCTTTTTTGTCATCTTTCTTTTCCTCTTTCTTCTCCTCTTTTTTCTCCTCTTTAGCCTCTTTGGTTTCTTCCTTTTTGCTGTACAACATAATGGAAGGCTTAGCAATATTACCAATATTTTAGCTGTTAAGGGAGAGGGTGGATGCTAAGGTACAGGAAACTAGACTAGGCTGCAGACAGAGTAGGGCAGGGCTTCTTAGTGGAACCATTCATCCAACTGGTAAAAATGGTTTAGAGGCTGAGGCCTCTCAAACGGACACCACCACACCATTCCACCAGGGAATCAGCTGGCTGATTCTGTGCATTAGTCACCGTGCTTTGCTGACCTTTCCAGACATCAGTATATCAGGCTGATTTTAATTAAATGCTTCCAGTTCATTTCATTCTTTAGAACTCAGGCATCTAAAAGGAAATCTATCAGATGATAATAGAATGTGAAATGGCTTAAAAAAAGTCAACATTCTTTGCATATCCAAAACCTCACAGTGACTGTCTGAAGCTTTAATGGTAATTAAATGAAATGAGGCCGAATTTCCTCTCACAGTTCTTTAAAACCAACATGGCTATAATTAATTAATTACCTCTGGCTTCAACAATTGCCTTGGAGAAGAATCCCAGTCAATGTGTGAACAAAAGCAGCAAATGTAAAGAGGTGTGTCTCATTTAACTACATAGTAGTCATTTTGTAAATGCTTTATAGTCAAAATGATTAAGCTAACCTATTTAAGATCTCTACAGTAGAGACCGACTCTATCTATCAGATAGTCCATACCTCATAGTCCATATCCACAAGATGACTTGTGCCCTAAAGGCATTTTTTTTCTTTCCATCAACTATAAAGGAAGAATGGACTGCCTACTTCATATTTCTGTGTCTATGTTTGGTCAGAGGAGCCGTGACCGAGCTGCTCTGCCTGTATTCAGTTGTCACTATATTCAAAGGCTGAGCATTAAACATGAAGTTCCATCCTTGCTAAAACCAGTGGGAATTTTTCCTAGACTTAATGGAATCATGACTGTCCCCAGGTTTATCAATTGCTTTTCATGTAACAAAGTAAAATATGGACCATTTAATATAATTATATCCTACTGTTTCATAGTATCCAGCACAGACCCAAGCTGCAAGATTTAATTCCAGGTAGGGATTTCCATACTGTTCCAAGGGTCTACAGCCTTTAGCTCAGATCTAAAGATGGATCTAACTTCCCCCCATTCTTAGGTTTGTCTGAACAGAAGAGTCTTCAGCTATGTTGACTTATGCAGGTAGCCCATGCGTCCCCTTCAAAACTGCAGAAAGTTAATGTCTTTCCTAAGATTCTGTCAATACTTAATCTAAGACCTAAATGTGCTACATGCATTGGTCAAGAATCACGTAAGCTGAAGAATGGCACTCATTTGCACAAGCAGAAAATCCATCACCTAGATCTCCCTGGTTTGTATTTGAAATGTCTTTATTCCTTGAAGCAAAAGGTGTCCTCTTCGGTTAGACGGAAAAGCCTGAGTGCTCCTGACGCTCCGGCGTACGTGGATAACACACAGAAACATAACTCTCCACACATAAGGTCAGGTTCGGATAAAAGCCATGGACTGCTGCTCCCATCGGAGCTACGTGTTCTCTGAACTGTCAAGATTGGATCTGATTCTCCACTTGACTGGTGTCAATAAAGGACAAATTGGTTCAATGACAGCGAAATCCCACAGCGAAGACAGAATATGTAGTAACAGTTGAAAAAGTGCTGCTTACAGGATTTGAACCAAGAGGTAAAAAGTTCAGTGAGCTCACTTGTGCTTTGCACATACATCTGCTTGTATTATTCAGATCAGAAAAAGTCTGCACTGTGAATGGCAGTCCAGCCTATAAATGTGCTTGTTACAGGGAGAAAGCACTCCAAGAGAGAAGCCAACAGTCGCATTTAAGATAAATATAATAGGTCTAGTTAGTAGCTGTCACACATCAGCAACGAGCACCTGTTTCAGTTCTTACCCTCAGACATTTCCATAGTGATGCAGCACCACAGTGTAATTCAGAAAAGCCTGGACCTGTTTGCTAAAAAATACTGAGATTCTACACTCCTTCATGTCCAGGGAAACACCTATCAAGCTGACCAGCACCACTGAAACCTTTACATGACACGCTGCAAGGGAGCAGAACTGGAGGAGAAAAGATCCTTTGGGTTGACTGATCTTCTATTTATACATGCATCACAACTCAAAGAAAGTTTTTTATTTACCAGGTCTGATCTCTTCACAGCAGTGGAAACTGCTGCTCAAGTATTTATTTCTTTGCCAATGAGCCTCCTGGACTGTTATGGCTTCTTTTTCAAGTCTGCCCCCAAAACTCCTTCCTATTTAATAAGCACGTCAGGATTTCACTGCACATTACTATGCATGGTGCCTGATCTAAAGGCCAATTCACAGTTGTTGTTGTTAGCATTAACAGAGCTCCTCAGTCAAATGTCTGGCATTCCTTCCAGAAAGGAAGAACCATGAGTAAACATAATTCTCAAAGGGTAGGGCCACTGTATATCTGTGGATGTTGTTATGCAGGGCAAAGTAGGATGAGACAAAGAAACAATCAAAAAGTCTCAGTGGTGGTGAACTTTGGAGGGAATATTTTGACAATTCCAACTTCCTCCTCCATTTTGTTTTTAAAAAGAGAAAAATGCCATCTAATGCCAATACTTCTTTTTCTCTGGCCTGAAATCTCCAACAAACTCATCTGTCAACCACAGGCATCTTTCACAAGTGAGTTTCTTCCCTATCTGTGACCGCTGTTCATCTCTATTGTACTAACTCCCAACTTCTCATACTCCCACCCACGTGTAGTCTGGCAGTGGAAGTCACTCAGAGGAAACAGTTGGCCATGATCAGAGACTTGAAAGCATCACCTACAGTCCCCCAAGGGCAGGCACTCTTAGTTCTTCAACATAATGAAAAACCCAAAGCTGCAAAAAGACCTGCCTTTTTTTTTTTTTTTTTTTTTTTCTTTATCAGTGCTACTGAGTAACTAATGAAACAGCTGTTTGTGCCTGTCCTCCTCCACAGCAAAACACTGGCATCCATTCTGCGCTTCCAGCACATTAAAAGGAGCATGCATCCTGAGACTTAGAAAACATGTCTTCATCAGCCCCTATAAACACTGTCGTAGTCTTTGAATCAGTCAAATATTTGCACCTCCCACCTATCAAGTACTCTGCAAATCAAGTATGTTTCAGACTGTCAGGCAGGTAGACAGACAGATGTTGCCTTCATTTAAAAATAATGAAACATTGCAAGGATGAAAGTTTTGCCCAAGGTAGATGAGTCATTGTCAGAAACAGAGTAAGAAAGCTATATTTCCACCCTAATTGGTCCTTTGGGCCCTGACTAGCAAGCTAGGCTCCAGGCTTTTAGCACTTTTTTTATGCCAGTCTAAATAAAATTTGGCACATTTCTGTTCCTGTTTACTGCACACTGATTTTCCTTTTTAATTAAAGTTATGCAAACCAAACCAAAAAGTTGCTTTAGAAGCAAGAAGATCTCTTGATCAGGTATGTGCACAAAGGTTTTGCAGCATCATTTAAAAGGTACAGTTTGAGCTAGCCCATGATGGAGCTATTTGGAGGAAAAAACAAGAGTTTCCAGAAAGTATTTCTGATATGATCAGAAACTGCCCCGATTGTTTTCAATTTCTGTTTTCATCTGGAAAGCAATGAAAAGAATTAACTATCATCATGCACGAGAACAGATCTGCCGCTGGATGCTACAGAGCAGATACGTCCTCGGATAGCAGTCGTCCTAGACATGCAGCAAACGCTGGTGTTGGGTGATTTAAATTACAGGAGCTCTTCATCTTTTCAAGAGATTTCTCTTTGGTGTAACAGTGTGAAATATCCTGTCAAATATATGAACTAGACTCTAAAGGACAGCTTCTGCCAGAGCTTCTGTTGCAAGGCAAGCCTTATTATGCTGCCCGTCACTCTCTCTACATCTACACCAACAATATCTGCTGAACTGAAACACGCGTTTTAAAAAGATGGTTAGTTTTCTTTTAGACTGCAAACATAAGTGTTTTCTTGGTGCCCTGATCAGTATCCACTTCTCATCTGACAACCTGAAATTTCTGGGGCACCTGATTTGCAAAAGGGTACTAGTATGTTAAAAGAGGAAAAGCACTATTACAAAACAAATACACGACTGTCATTTAAAAACTGAAGAATATCAGATCAATACAGTAAAATCAGCCAGCTGAACTAGAGGAGATAGGGACTACATGCTCAGTCAAAGTCAATCCTTGAGAGGGAAGGGTAAATTTCGACAAAAAGAGGTTCACAGGGAGCATGAAGGGTGATTTTCATCCTAAGAAAACTAGATCTCTCATTATAATTAAACTAGATTCTTAGGAAAGGCTTAGGAAGAGATAAGGAGTTTATACTACAAATGTTACTAGGCTGGAAAGGGAGAAAGAGGGGAGCTAGTAGCAAAAAGGTGTTTGGAAGTTATCAGTACTTACTCTTCATTGGTGTTGTTGCTATAGTTGACATTAAACCTGGCCGAGCGCCAGTGACTGCAGCAAGTTAAATAAAACACATTAAAGAGTGCAAAGACTGTTGGTATTTCATACGCGTGTTTACCGACATGATGGATGAACTTACTCGCTTCTCACCTATGCACTGATAAGATTAGGAAGGTCAGTTCTGACTGCAGCGATAAGCCCCTTTGTGTAACTCTTTCAAGGCACCGGTTTCTTTTCACCACGTGTTTGGCACACACATCTGTGGCCACATCTGATCTCTGAAGCTTGTTCTCAGGCGTAGGAGTGCATGGCAACACGCGCCTCACTATTTTTAGCCCTGTACTCCTCTGGCTCCTATTTTAAGCTTTCTTCAACCCTTTCAAGCCTCCTTCGCAGATGCAGTGTCAAGGCTTGTGGATAACAAACAAGCATACCTACCACGGCAGAATTAAACCTTCATGACAGAACAACTGGGGGTTATTGTCATGTGGCAGTGGTGTAAAACTGAGAAGGAAAGGATGGCAAATTCACTGCTAATCGCCTTATATAGAGGTTTGTTGGCCCAGGATCAATGTTATCCTCTCTAATTACTTTGAATCTGCAGTTGCTACTGATCTAGACATCTGAAAAATCAGACAAGAGTCTGGCTAATTCAACAAAATGTTGTTTTAATCTGTATTTCTAAGGAATAGACCAAGTGAACCGAATAAGACTGTGCTGGACCACAACAAATCAAGGTAACGTGTATCATGCACAGCCATTCAAAGGTTCTTGCTTTGATCTGAATTACTAGCTGAGATTTTAAAACAAATCAACCTATTACTTGCTTAACCTACCAATCTTTAGCTGTGCAAAAAAAATATGAGAGTCTGTGCTTCAAAGCATAATGGCAAAAAAAATTCAACGTTTGTTTGGGCACTTCATTTTCCACTTTTATCTGGAGTTAAATTTAAAATACTGCATAACGTATTCATAAAGCAATAATAATAATTCATCAAGTCAAAAGACTATAAACACATAAAGGTTTCTCTTGCAAGCCTCAGTTGTTTTATTGGAACAATTTTAAGATAAGACTGAACCTGCCTTCTATATCAAAGACGGAGTGTGTGCTAGAGTAAGTTAAGTCAGCAGCCAAAAGATTTTCCCATTTCTGCATCAGAAGCCTTCTGTGACATCAGCAGCTGAACTCCTGAGCAGGCGTAACACAGCAATGACACGTTTTGCACAATCGCTCGTTTGGAGTTTCCAAACACTCGCACATAATGTGCGTAACATTAATGTCCTGAAAATCCACAACTAACAACATCCTAGATTCTTGAGACAGAAATTGCATTCATTCTGAGCAGGGAGGAGTTCAGCAACTTCAAGTTACACAGGTAGCGTATGATAAAATTCCAGTTCTGAGAAACCATTCTGCCTGAAGCAGCATGATCAAAATCCTTTACTTCAAGATCAGTGCCACAGTGCATTTGAGGGGCAAAGAGAAAGTCTGCTGAGGCCATAATACTTTAGTCGTGCGAAGATTCCTGGGCAGCATTAGGCACCCTGTTCATCTCCCAAGCTAAGCTCCTTATGCTCTTCTTAAAATAAAACTTACACCCTAATCACCAAGAAAATACCGTAACCTCAGTTGTCTTCTTTTGAAGTATAAAGACGTCTTCTTACCTGCTTACTCCCCCAGGCTGCTCACGGATACCCAGAAAGGAGCGGATGTTACTTTGCCTGCTGGATACCTCTACAAGCTCTGGCCCTCGGATACGTTCTAGGAAAGAATCAGGTCTTTGGTCTTCATGGTGCAAATGTTTTGTGGCCCATGACCTCACAGATACGACAAATCGTGACAGCCTGCATGGAACAGACATAAAACATTGACTGAACCAGACAAGAACATCAAATGGCTTAAATCATCCCCACAAAGAATAGCCCAGGAGGACTCCTCTCTATTCCACACCTGCCATGAAATTAAACTTGATGGATTAACTGTGTGAACCCAGTCACTTCCCAAAATGTCATACACCACCCTTTGCAGCGGAGTATCTATCTCACACATCAGTTCCTAGGGCACTGTACCAGCACCGCAGGAGCAGCAGACGAATATTCTTGCCAAGTGAGGGCAAACCACGTAGTTGGGGTGGGGCAGTTGACATCTGATAAACTTCTGACATTATTTGATGATAAGGGAATCCTGGACTGACAAAAACACTCACAGGATCACATGTTCAAGGGCTGGTACACACAGTGGAAATAAAAGCTGAATAGTTGGTGAGGGAGGATGGACTCTGAAATAAGGAATTAAAAAATTCAGCCACTCTCCCCATGATCTTAGAAGGTCTCTCTGCAGACATATTAATTGCCTATCACATATAAACCTGCCTACTGCATAGGAAGCACTATTTCCTCTTCTCAAATTTCTAGCAGAGCACTGACATAAGCAAAAAAACATGACAACATCATTTATCATTGTATCATTATTTATCTTTTTCTCTACCCAATAATACACATTACGAATCCTTACAATATTTTCTGTCGAAGTTCAAAAGGAAACATGTTTCTGAAAAACTGAAAATAATGGAGACTGAAATCTACAGAAGTGGTTATATTTATTATTCACACAATATATTCTATTATTTCCTATCAGCAGTCTAGTTTCGACAAAAGTGGTCAGGTTAATTCAGATTTCCCAAACTTGGCCTTGAAAACAGCATAATGAAATCCTAAACAGTGCTTAACTTCTTACGGAGACCAGAGACTCAAGGAAAGCTTTTTATATTCTCTCTGCATCAGCTAATATTACATATGTTCAGAATCCACACGGAGATCGATACAAACAATTTAAATCTTATGGTAAAATACATCTGCCTCTTGATTCCAGTTCTCAAGGGCCCAACTACACCTCCTCACAGAGCTCGCCCAAGTTCTCTTCCTCTGAAATAACAGAAACTACAGGAATAATATCACATATCAGAAATTAGAAAAATATATTTCTAGTTCTTTAGTGCTATACCAAGATGGCACCATATAAATCATCTGCAATTGCCAAAAAGTATGAGAATTCAAAGCCTACCACAAATGCAAAAAGAAAAGCTCCACATAAAAGCCTGAGATTATTTAATATATTCCTAACTCTATTAAAAAAATGCTACATCAAATTAAGCTACAGATTTTTTCTCTTTGCCTGAGCAGAACTCAGCTTTCATAGAAGGAGTAGTATGGAAAACTACTAATATGGATGATCTTACTTACATGAGAAAATAAAGCATTGTGATGAGATCTGTTAGTTAGGGAGTAAACAGATGTTAGCAAATAAGATTGAGAGCCTCTTGACTTGAACAAAGAAATAGAATTTTCTGATTTCTGCCATGCTGTATTATTTTTACGTTTTTGTCCTTTATATCTCAATTTGAGATACTCAGTGCAGTTCATCAAATGGTGTTGATTTAGGTCCTTCAGAATTTACATTCAAGAGGTATGTTATGTTACCATAATATTTAAAATGCTAAGCATTCGTGTTTTTATCACAGGCTTCCTTGTATATTTAGAGCATAAGTAACTGTACACACATGTATAATTCAAACTACCCTGAAAAAGGGTAACGAATAATATAAACAAAGATTAAAAAGGAAGTTCTCAATATGAGTTTATATAATCATGTACTTTATGTTAATACAAAACACACACCTATAAATGTTTTCCACCTAAAACCAACTTCTCACAGAATTCATAATCTACACACAATGGTGTCACTATCTGACAACCAAACAGGGAAATACAAGTTTATTCTCCACTGTCCAAAAGGCTGAAGTGTAAACAACACTCTTTAAATGCCTCTAGTTTTATAATTTTTTTCTTTGCTCTTTGAAATATACTATGCTTAAACTGAGTATGGTCTGTATTGTGTGTAACAACGGTATCTGAAGACAGAGCTCTGTAGTCTCAGATGGAAATACTGAAAGCAGACATAATAAGTTTTTGAAGTTTCACTTCAGGTTTTTGTTTAAATCCCGGTAAAGTAAATGAATTAAGCAAAAGGTTGGCTTCAGTTTTGCTGACTAAGGCTCCCAATCCATTATAAGCATCGCTGAATTCAAAAAACTGAGAGAAACTCTTGCCCTCCCAAACACGAGCCCCTGTCTCCTCCCTTGCCAGAGACATCTATCAGCAAGGGAACAATTATGATGTCTTATTTGACAGGTAACTAACGTGGCATCAGCTATCAGCCAGAAACAAACACTTGTCTATTTCCTTTACAGTCTGGCCTCACTTCATGCATTTCCTCAGCGTTCAATGTATTTTCAGATCTGATCATGTAAATATAATTTACTTTTTTGTATTCAGACTAATTTGTGTGAGCTCATTCAGCATCTCTAGGAGTCTAAGGTTTTTATTAGCAATGAGTAAGCGATGAGTTCAGAATCAAGGTCAAAAGAAGCTTCTGTTACTTTCGTCGACTTTCTTCGGCTGGACTCCATCCATTTTCTTTGGAAAGTGATGGTTCCTCCTACTTTGCCTCCAAATTGTGATCAGTCTCCTTCAACAAGTTAAGTTTAATATTGGACATGGTATTAGTTAGAATGTTACCTTGCCATTGCTCCCCTGCCTGCGAATGAACTCGTCTGGGATTCAGATACATGTCTTCCCTCAGCAGAAATGACTCTCTGCAGTTCTGAAGATGCATCCTCGCACAGTGAATGGGCTCTGCAAAAGCAAATTTTTTTTTTTAGGAATTCCATACAGCCTCCAGCAGACTTCCCTCCACCTGATTCTTTCTACCACTACATCAGGAAACACTGCAGCAAATTGTCCTCTTCCTAGTAATATGCCATACGTTTGCTAAACATAGAGCTAAGACTATATTCCTACTGTTCTGGAGCCAGCCACCATGAAACGAAGTCAGTGGAGGCTCTGCCATCTGTTCCAGCAAGCTCAGAAGCTGATGCCTTACTAGTCAGTACTACTGTGGTGTGCAGGCACACAGTTATGGGAAACATGTTTTCTACCCTAACACCTTCTGTAAGGCATCAGCAGCTTCCCTTCAAGATGGAGTTCATCCCCGGGGGGCTTTAAAGTGACTGCCCGCTGCTTTTTTCAGTGTTTTTTTTTCTCCTAGACATTGTGTTTAACGGTCTGGATTTTCTACCAGTGCAGTTCCTATTTATAACTCAAAGCAAATGCGCATCTCTCTCTTTGCTTTCACTCTTGCTTGGACTGAAGGGGAAAACGCTGATTTTACAGTAGTCAGCCCTGAGCAGCACCACTGCTGTTCCACCCTGCCCGTTGCTGCCAGCTGCACAACCGCAGGCCTGGTGCTGCTGGCGTCAAAACTGAAACTTCACCTGTTGCCCAGCAAAACAGGCTAGAGAGCAGCCCTGAGGTGAGGCACCTCCAACTCCTGCCACGCGTGGCAAACACTGGAGCAGCCCAGTTGCACACAGCTGCAGGCAGCCATCAGAGCGTTAAGCTAGGCCAGTGTCTGCCAGCAACCCTGAGTTCCTGTAAGGCCGCCTATCAGCACCGAAATAATTAGCATTTGAGAAAAATAGGTGCCGTTTTAGCTTCATCCTTCAGTTATGGGAGTTTTGAAATTGACTTCACTGGAACCCGGGCTTTACCAGGGCTCACTCGGGATTTTTCTATAAGACTGCTAGGGTGTTTTGGTTTTCATTCTTCAGTAGTCACTTTTACAAGCCTTTGTCACATTCATTAAGGATCACTTTTTCCTCCCCTTTGTAAGGCAAAGAACTCACGTGAGTCTGTTAATCGGCATGGCCAGGAAAACACTGACTATAATGATACTTGCAGTATCTTCGTAAGAACTGGCAACAGCATTTTGAATGCCCACCAAAGGATAATTAGCAGCTCAGTTTTGTGAGGACTCACAGCTGAGAAACTGACAAACAGAAAATTAAAACTTGATTATTTCTACACAAAGAACCATGCTAAAAAAAAGATAGGTCCTGACAGTCCCAGAATTCTCAACTTGTTAACTGTTTTCTTCTTCTCTTCTAATAAGAAGACACCAACAGACGCTGCTTAGTATTGAAAAACTTTTATAACCTAGTTTATGTTGTGGGTGCTGAGAAAGTTGTGGATGCCAAAGTTAACATGGCTTCTGGGGGAGAATGAGCGAACTCATGGAACAGAAATCCATTACGGATTACCAGATATACAGAGCCCGCACGCAGCTCCAGAAGTCTCCTGAGCTGGATGCTGGGAGAGTATTACAGGAAAGTATGTTGCAGATACTTGCAGTTTACCCGCTTTTTTTTCCTTTTTCCTGGAGCAGCTGCCTACAGACCTGCTGGAGAAAGGATACTGGGCTAGTCGGTCTTTTAGACTGAACTGCTACAGCTGGTTTTAAGTCCTTTTATTCCTTTTTACAGAAAAATATATATTTTGTGTGATCTTAGACAGCAATAAATTCTAATATCGGTACTTCTATTCTTATTTACCAATCATTACTATTTCTGAGCCCTCAAAATACATTTTTAAAAGAAGACAGTGGGAGTTCTTAGAAAATAATTCTAAGCGTTACAATTCAGATGTGAAAATCTATTTTGCAGAAATAACGTCCTGACTTTGAGTGAGTGGTGGGGTTTTGGGTGGCAGGGGAGGGGGCTGCAGTGGTGGCCCCCTGTGAGAAGCTTCTCGAAGCTCCCCCGGAGCCAAGTTGGACCCAGCTCTGCAGCTGCACCTCTGCGAGAACGTATTTAAGAAGGGACGTGGTGACGGGCAGTGGGACTGGTGAGGAGGAGTTGCTGCAGCTGCATGAACACCAAGGTCAGTGGAGGAACGGAGGAAGAAAGGAGGGGGGAGGTGTGCCGGAGCAGAGACCCCCCTGTATCCTGTGGGGAGACGGCAGGGTGGCCCCCCCTGCCACCCAGGGAGATCTGCGGTGGAGCAGACACTGAGTTATGGGCTGTGAGGCATTTCGCCTGGCTGATCAAGGTGTCTGTGCCCAAAGGACGGAAAATCAAAATCATTTTGTGGAAACAGTACTAAAGTGCTTGCATTTCACTTTTACAAATACAGCTTATGTATATCTGCAAGAGGATCAGAAAAAAATACATGAAGGACTCCACCAGGCAAGTCTGATGAAAGAACCTCTCTGATATTACACAGCAATCACAAAAATATTCCATTTCAATTCACACAAATGCAAATCAAAAAGTAAATCTAAAATGAATTCTTCCTTCCATTATTATAACTCCCTATTATAAAACTCATACGCTCATTCCTGACTTTCATCAACCCCGTTCAGATAATGCAAGAGGCCTGTTTGTCAGCTGGCTTTATATTGATGCAGAGGGACAGTTACAGATGGGGCTTTTGATGTAACACCTGCAATGCATGTAGCATAGTTTTTACTTTACTTTCACAGACTGATTTTCATCTGGACTCCATGAGCTTGTTGGGTATCTGCAGCAAAACAGTAACCACTGCCATTACTATCCAAGCATGTTACCCAGTCCAAAATCAAGATGAGAAGAGAATACAGTGTGCCAGGAAACGAGGAGCCCGTTACAAAACAAAAATATCAGTAGGTTATTGCCCCTCTTTGGCTTATGCTGAAAAATATTTTATTTCCACGGGAGTAGCACTGCCACTGTACCTTAGAGAAAACTCACTGACACTGAGGTTTCTGCTTCATGCCTCTTCAGCTCTCTGAACACCAACTTATTCCCATGCTTTCGAGATACCTAGCAGAGTAAGCTCTGGGAAGAGTATTTACATCAGCACCTGGTCTGTACCTGTCCCTTGCCCTGATTTAATGTGGCTCTAAATTTGCACAAATATCTTCAAGAAAACCCTAGAAGACCATTTTCACCTAAGATGCATGCAAATAATCCCAAATTTTCATTTAGTAGTAACTGTTTCGAACTATTGATCACTTAAATAGGAATTGCTGAAGCCCTTTTGAGTAATGACTGTGAGCCAGACTTCAAGGGCAGGATTTGGCAGTGACCAAATTTCTAATATAAACTGAGTGTCTAAATTCCCATTACAGTCAACTGCCATTTACAGCTTGATTCAGTTGCCTCAATATAGGAATCCAGTACCATTTGGAATACCTCTAAGTACTTCATCTGACCTCTCCAGAGCACACACGTCTCGCTTCATATCCACTACCCCCAGCAAAATGTTTCAGATACTCTGTGGTATCTCAAATAGCTTCAGATGCCTATTGTAGGCAACTAAATACTCTTGTAATCGACACAGCCAAACGAGCCTGAAGAGCTGTTTCAGCTTCGGGGTAAGCGGAGCAGCTCCCTCAGCACCACTGACTTAGTACTGACTACCTCTCCACTGATGACAGCAGCAACTTCGACACCTACTCACATAAAGACGCTGAAATCCAGATGTCTACAAGGTGCAGCTGAATCCTAATTCCAACTTTAAGACATCTACTCTGTGTCTAGAAGCTAGAGTGCTGCCTGTCCTATTCGAGCTGTTTCTATACAGAGACCGGATTTTAAAAATGAAGACTCATTTGTTATTTTTTGTATTGTTGATTTCTGTTTTAACAAAATGGACCAACTTTATAGCACACTACACTGTAAGAATATGGCCACATGAATTGCCTACTCCAGCGTAAGTAAGAATGACAGTTTAAAGATCACAAGCAGCTTTCTGTTGACTGTTGCAGTGAATGCTTTTTCTCAATAACACCTCCTTCCACAGCAGAAAAGCACTTAAGCACATCCTTAGCATTAAGCATATATTTAACACCCATTGACTTTAATGAGAACTAAGTAATGTGCTGAATCGCTTTGTTGAACTATAGCCAACAGGAGTTGAAGGAAGATAAAGGCAAAGGAGAAATGGTGCTACTCTAGAAAACCAGAGTTTTTTCCAATGCTTATAGTTGTATGTTTTGCTACAAGACAAAGGACAGCTAAAATTTTGGATGGGTTCTATCTTTTGATACAGACATATTCTAAAAACAATCTGAATTTTAAAAAGTGTATCAGAATTCTTTGAGTGGTATTACTACTAGCAATCACTTCAGCAATCCAAAAACCTTATGTGTGAGATCTCTTTTACAGAGTAAGTTTATATATTTTTGCTCATCTAAGAACTCCTGTAATTAATGCTCCCATGTCTTCCATGGCGTCAGATAACAGCAAACTTCCTTCTACATAAATGCCTCTTAAAGACCATCATCATCATGATAAAGTGCAATTCATATCTCAGTCCCTCTATCTGTCACAAGCAAGTCATTGCCTCTGAAACTGCAGATGACTGCCATGATTTAATACTACATTTAAACCTTCATAAACACGCTCTCACATCCCTACCAGTAATTCCATTCTGTGAGCTGCCAATCAGTGATATTCTCTACAAAAAGGACATTAAAATAAGGAAAGGAAGAGGCTCACTTTGATCTGTGTTTTCCCTGTTTCTGAGATAGCACTGTAAATGGGGACAAAGGGACGCAGCACTTGCAAATCTCCCCAAGGAGACCACGGGTTTAGTATAGCGAAGTCAAACAAGCCATGCTGTGCAGAATAAAAGCCGCTCCATTTTCACTAGTGTAGGTACACCTGCATGACAGCAGGTGTCATGTAAACGCAGCAGAGATTGCAAAAAGGACCGATTCAAAGAGGAGAGGGTTTGCATGCGTGCCAGATGCGAGGGGCACGCAAGCCAAAACTGCGGTAAGGCAGGCAGCCCCACGAGCCCAGCAGCACTCCGCGCTGTGGTCGGGGCACACATTCCAACGGCAAGAGGCACTCGGACCAGCTCCACACAGCGGAGGTGGTTCACCACAACAAGCCAAAAGCAGAACGCTTTTTCCAGCCTGCACAGATGCTGTGGATCATCAGACGCTCTCCTGCAGGCCCAGCAGGGTTTGCCCGGACCAGACAAATGACTGGTGCTGCTAAAACGCCCGTGCAAGCTCACTGGCACGTGTTAAACAGCCACTTCGAAACTGTCGAAACAGAGGAAGGTGAATGCAAAGAAACCGCTACAGTTCCACCGCACAGTGAAAGACTCTGAAAATCCAGTACAAACATGTCGATGTTCTTTATACACTACAAATGTTCCCCATTACAGGAACTAGGCAATTTGCAAAGGATACTTTTTTTAAAAAAAAAACCCCTCCTGAGGCTTTTCACTGCATGGCACTGGAAAGATCCCTTTTTCTCCATCCAGATCCCCCAGACTCTGTGGGAAGCACAGGCCCTGCTATCTGCTTGGTGACAGAAGAAAGAGGTTTCTCTTTCACAACTTGGTGTCATTCCCACTCATGTGAAAATGGGCTTTATTCCTGAGGTAATAGATTCTGGTTTCAAAACTGCGAGCCACTGCTTTCCTGTTGCTGTCTCTTCTGAACTTCAGATATACATCATGAAGTCAATAAAGTGCACTGCCTCCACAATACCATGATATAACACTCCCATCATGCAGAGCTAGAGAAGTGCCACAAATTATGCAGCAATCTGTCCTCTTGACTGTGATGAAAGGAATATATTACCTGATACAGCCATTTTCTATCCTTTCAATATCTTCATCAGTAGTTCTGACAGACAGTCTGTGCATACCAGGGTAGGAGTGCTGGGTGTTGATTTTTGCCATTTTGCTTTACATATCAACATCTAAATGACAGCTGGAACAGAGAAAAAAAAAAAAAAAAAACAACACAATAACACAATATTTTGTGACAGCTGCAAAAGAAATGTGCTCAGTACTTAAAAAGAGTGATTTATTAAAACAGTGTAACAGCAAAAGGCAATTTAAACCATTTGAAGAAGAGCCAGTGATATTTACACACACAATATGATACCCGTTTCTTGATTTATTTGCACTAGAGAGAAAAAAGTGCTAGTAAAAGTGTAACAAAGATAATTCATCATGACCAAAGAAAACGGTTGCATGACACAACACTCTTTTTAGTCTCTGGGCTTTCTGAATGCCTACACTGTCATATCTATTATCCATAGTGCAATTACATTTAAAATCTCATTAAAAGAAAACTACAGTTAGAAAGCCAACCAAAAAAAAGCTACGTAATACATGTGCCAGGACAACCCATTCCACTTTAAGTGGATCCCTTTGTGCTAATTTTATCTATTTTATGATTAAGTTTTTTATTCTGAAAATGCATATTAACCAAGCAGATTATAAATGAAACGTATCCCTCAATATATGCCATGCATTAATTCTATATTATCTAAACTCTGAACTAAACACATACTAGGGGGTTTTTCCACTTATTTCTATATCATTTTTATTATACTGCTTCAAGACAAGCTCTGTGAAGATATGCAGCAGCCCAGCTCCTACAAGATTTAGGAAATTCCTTCCCAGCTTTGGCCTTCAGTGCCTTATCAAACTCATATCACAGCTATCAGTCACCTGCAAAATGGGGTTTTAAGACTCAAGACAAGCGTCTTAAAAATGAGCGACCGCAAGACTTTCAGTGAAAGCTCTGAATTTTGAAATTTTTTTTTTTTTAAGATTTGAAACTTCATTCAGGAACCTTTTTTGGGGGGGATATGACTAGAATGAAATTCTCTTTGGATCATTCAACTACCTCAGACCATCTACTGTCCCTTTTCCACCCGTAATCCTCTGTCTCACTGACCATACAACATTCAGCTTTAGCAGCAAATGAAATATGGATCTTACAGAAACTAACATTCTGCCCCGAATTATTCCTGAAGCAAAGCTCACGACGTCCGTTATGAATCCAGTTTCTTAAAACCAGATACCTGACTTACCCTCCATACAACCTCCAGACAACTAAAGGGAATCATATATAGCTTTAAAAATTATTTAATGTTTCAAAATATAAAATAGATTAACTTAATTTTTTCATCCAGAAATAATTAAATTAGTCTAGAAATAGCCCTTGGGCATCATATAACACCTGAAAATCTGATCAGTATTTCCTATTACTAATTTTGCCTCGGTGCAGGTCAACTGATGTGTAACTGTGTCTCACCTTAAACTGAGCCCTGTGCATACTGGTTAACTTAAGTTTTATTGGAGAAAAACAAACGGGCATTTCTATTACACATTGGTATAAAAAAAATAGAGATCTTTCAACCCGCTCTCAGATTTGAATGTTCACACAGATGAATTAATTCTTAAAGTGCAGATAATTTATGCTAAAAAAATAACTGCATTTAAAAATGTTAACTGGAGCAGTCTCACAAAATGAACAAATTATTTATGTATATGTTAATATATACCCATTATAAATATCAATGAATATTTATTTTAAAATGATTCAGCCTTTGAGAGACAAACGTTGTTATGAATAAATTAACTAGTCAAATGAATAGGTTTCAAAATAGCTATGACGCCAAAAACATCACCTCTCTAGAAAATTTCTTCATAAATCATTTCTTAGTTATAATTACTGCTGCTACTACATACTTTGTAACACAGCATTGGATATATGACGTGCAGTAGTGCTTTCGTGACTGGAACATTTATTTTGCTGTAAGAGTGAGTATTAAGGTAACTCCCATTTCTCATATATTAATTTGAACAGAATGCAAGGTAAGAAGAAAATGTGGTTTTCCTTCTGTTGCTATTGATTTCTTCAAAGTTCAGCTTAGGAAAATCTGCAAAACTAGTCTACAATTTACAGTGTCTCACTGCCCAGGTCCGGAGGCTCGAGGTTACACGGCAGGAGCCTGGGTGTCACAGTTGCTTCATTTAAAAACAAAGCAGCATGCTTCCTGCTGACCAATTGTTACGCACGTACAGAAAGTATAGCGCAATATCGAATTGCTTCTTCCTACTGAGAGTTGCTCTTGCTGCCTATTTCATTTCCTCTGCTTTGAACTATACAAAGTCTCACAAGAGGTAACTTTTAAAAGTGGCATGAGCTTCCTGGATTTTACCACTCTGTATAGACCCTGCTCTCCTTTAAAGCTCAGACAAATCATTTGTTGTTTTTTAAAATCACAATAGAATGCTCTATCACATTGCAGGAGAGGGAGTTGTTCTCACTCTCCCACTGAACCGTGCCATGCATTCCCCAGTACCTCTATTAAGCCCACTTTATTCTAGTTCAAGGTTTTAAAAGCTTGATAGTAGGAAAAGAAGAATGATTCAGAAGAGAAGTAACAGAGCCCTAACTTTTTTCTAAGGCTGTATTTCCAGCACTAACTCAGTACTGTGTTAAAATCCTGACTAGTTCTGCCACCTAACACAATAACGACCCTGCCATTAGTCCTGGTGATTCACAATCAGATTGATGTCTATCCACAGCAGTTCTTAAACAAGGGTCATCTTGTTTATAATCGCCAATAAAATAAATAACTCTGTTAAAACAATGAAAGGATGAGATAATAAAAACCTTCTGAAGTTTAGGGATGATGCAGATAATTCACTACCGACAGTATGTATTATCTCACTGAAAAGACACACTCCTGAACCTGGAGAGCAGCGAACAATGCCTTTCTGTATTTCAGATGTTGTAGGTGTGACGTATGGATTTCTGCATCAGTTTCTGAAAGCTTGGTTGAAAAACATTAAGTACAGTATTTCTTTAAATTTCAAACTGAAATGGCTTCTCCACATGTTATTAATCTCCTGATATTAGATACTACTAGTCTGTAATTAGGCAATACTAATAGTGACTGGAATTAAGATATTTCAAATCTCCTGGAATGGTTTGAGTATGCCAGTGGAGCAGTGAATACAGGAAACAGCTGTACATCTTATTTAGACTTCCAAAAGCTATGCCACTAAAGAAACAAAACAAGTAATAGGATATGAAACCAAACACTGTTTTGGATTAAAAACTAGCTTCTTGGAAGACATAAAACAAGATTGGGATTAAATGGTCACCTTCACCACTGCAAGACTTTAAGAACAATATTCTTCATGGTTCCATAGGGAAACCTCTCATGAATGATGCTGATGAAAACAAGGAAAAGGGAGACATGAAGATCTCGGGAGAGCAAAAAGTACTAGGGGCAGGAGCAACAAGAAGAGTGCAAGGAAATTCAGGGTGACCCACATCAACTAGGTCAATTTCTCAATTTGACAGCCAGTGCCATGCAGCTAGGCAAATGGAAATCAACGACTACAGGTGAAAAGCGAGGAAACTCCTGCCTTATATGCTTCCAAATGTACCGTGTGCTCTCAGGAGGGGAACCTGAACGCTATGTATGTACGGTTCAGTGCAACGCCCTGCTCAGTGCAGGGCAGGCTTGCCGACACAATAGCTAACAATGCATACATGGACAGTGCTAATGGCACACAGAACACTGAAAGTGCTCCGTGAGACAACCATGCGGACTGACCTGGGACACTACTAGTCCTTCTCTTAAACTGAAAGATATTGCAGAATAAAAGCATGGCAAGAATAACTAAGGATGTAGAAAAGGGAGAGAAATAAAGGGGGTGCTTGCTCACCTTAGAAAGGCAAAGATTAAGCAGCTATAAAAGAAAAATATGTAAGGAAAATCGGAGCTCATTTCAGAGCCCTTACAATGATTTCAGCTGTAAAATCCAAATTCAATATACAGTGTGGTCTGAACTCTTATCCTGCACTAAACTAGAGGTAAGGAGGAGGGAATAATTTCATAGAAATACAATCCTACTATTAAGCAGTAAAATACATTAATATATTTTTTGGAAGGAGGTGGGGAGAGTGGACGAAAGTTCATTACTATATTGTGCCATGCAGGCCCAGCTGTGGTAGAGAGAGACAGAACACAGAACTGGTAGAAATAAATAATAAAACAAATAAATAAAAAATTTTCAAATTGAGTACAGCACAGGTGGTGAGACCTCCTGAATGATTTGGCCCTGCATGAAGCACATAAAATTCTGACAAATTACTGGCAGTCTGATAAAGGAGAAATACCTGTTCCTTCCAGGCCTCCAAGATTCCTAACGACAAACGTGTTTAACAGCCTAGGGAGAAGATCAGCATTTCAAAACTGGATGCAAAATCTGGCAAGCGAGTGGCTGGGGAGCAGCTCAGAACAAGCAGGGAGCTATCAGGAGTCAGCCCGCAGGAAAACGCCGCCGCGGCGTCAGACTCCTCAAACACCTTGTGCAGGGCCACAGAGAGAGACAGCTCCAGCCAGCTGGCACCCGCCACCCCGAAAACGCCACTGAAGGCTGGCGCTTACACGGCCGCTTCAAGCAGTGAGCAGAGCTCAGCTGGGTGTTCACAAACATGGTTGTTAGCAGTGTGGTGGGTGGCCTTGGCTGGCTGCCGCTCTTTCACTGCCCCTCCTCAGCGGTCCAGGGGGAGAAAGTAAGACGAGAAAGCTCGTGGGTCGAGACAAGGACAGGAAGACCACTTACCAGTTATCATCCCAGGCAAAATGGAATTGAATTGGGAAAAATCAATTTCCTTTATTACCAGTTAAATAGACTGATGAGAAACAAAGACAAAAATACCTTCCCCTCTTTTTCCCCCTAGATTCAACTTCACTCCTACATTCCCAACTCCTCCACCCCAACCAGCAGCACGGGGGGTTGCAGTCAGTCCATCGTGCCTCCTCCCTGTCACTCCTTCCTCCCCACACCATTCCCCTGCTCCACTGTGGGTCCTTCCCACGGGCTGCATTCATGCAGGAGAACCCCACTCCACTCTGGGTCCTTCCCACGGGCTGCGGTCCTGCAGGAGAA